CTAAGTTTGTTCTAAGTAGGTGCCTTAGGCCACCGAACCATCTCACCAGCCCCGTATATAAGAATTCTTAATAACCTAGTATCACCCAATCAAATTAAAAATATAATAAAAAAATCTTAGCAACAAAAGATAGCCAAGGTCATGAAGGATTGAAACTTGAATTGTATAAGAAATTTATAGAGGATTTTATCCCCAAACTCCTCAAATTCTTCAGTAAAATTGAAAAGGAAGCAATCCTCCCAAAATCATTCCTGGAGGCAAGTATTATACTGATACCAAAACCAGATAGAGAACTAATGAAAAAGAGAACTACAGGCCAATTTCCCTCATGAACATATATCAAAATCCTCAATAAAATCCTAGCAAATAGAATATAGCAAGTTATCAAGAAGATTATACCCATTCCATCCAGATATCACCCTTCTGGGAATTTTCCCAAAACAATTGAAAGCAACATCAGAGTGATATATGTGTGCCCATGAGTATAGCAGCACAACTTGTGATAGCCAAATCTTAGCAACAACCTAAATGCCTGTTAGCTGAGGAATGGATGAAAAAGATGTGGCATTTTTATTCAATGGAGTATTATCAACTATAAAAAAACCCCAAAGCCTTTATAGGTAAGTGGATGCAACTTGCTGCTATACTCAGAAGTCAAATAAACCAGACCCACATGTGTGAATGTCGTATTGTCTCTGTAATGTAAGAACTCAAAAGAAGAAATAAAAACTGAAAGGTTTAAAAACATAGTTAGATGGAAAGGAACTTAAGGATTAAGCAACAAAGAGAGAGAAAGGAGAAATGTTAGGACATAAGGTAGGGCAAAACCACACATTTGTATATACAAGAAGGATAAGGCAATGGCATTAAGAATTTCCATCAGGTTTTGAAAATAGCAATTAATGGGTAAAATGCTCATGCTGAGTAACTCTCTATGTTAATATCCATTAACTAAGCAACTACTTTGAGGACAGCAACGTGTAATACTATAACCATGCTTGAAACACTTGTCATCTTAGTCTTCTAAATGTGTACTATTTCTAATGTCTTATCAGTTATGACTATACTCTGTTTAAAGTAATTTTTTTAAAAAGGTAATAATAAAATGAGAGTCAAGAACAAGAAGTTAAGATTCTTGAAAGTATGTGGTAATATTAAATCATATGTCCTATCTTGCATCATTATATCTGTTAATCTGAGCAAGAGCTATCACGATAAAATAGATGATATATCAATCACTGTTAGGCAGCTATTCTTGTTTTGGAAATATGTAATGTATGTATTGTTACATGTTACCATTTCTGCCTTCACTTTTATTTTTCTTGTTCTTGTTTTTGCTCTTCAAAATAAAAGCATAAAAATGGTTGCTGCATTACACGATGCTATCTTCAAATTAACTGTTCAGGTTACCAGATACAAATATGCAAGATTCATTTAAAGAAAAACAAAGCAAAAAATAATTTTAAAAAATTGTAAGAAATTCAAAAGAAGAAAACAATAAGATTAAAAGAAACAAAATTTAAAGATTAACTGCTTCTTTCAAAAGACCAACAGAGGGATGATGGATGCCATTCCTTTTGCACAGTTAGGTGTTCGCTGATCATTCTAATTATTTGGACTCAGAAGTCAGAATGGTTCATGTCACAATATTAGTCCGTTGAACTACTTGTTTCCTCAGGTGCTCTTGCTCAGTGGCAAAGCATGACTTCTGGTGTGACAAGCCAAAAATATTGTACTTGATAAGAAATATTTAAGGCTGATTTGAAGCAAGAGCATAAACCAAAGCTGAAGACTGTTTTACTTTCAGTGATTTTTTTTCTTTATTGCTATCATTACTCACACAGTGACCTTGATTTCATTTTAGGAACTTATAAGGCATGAGTTACTTTCCACAGAAATATATTAATTACTGCCACATACTCTGGTATAGGTTTGATTGGCTATTTTTGTGGATCTTTTATTTTTTTATTTGGTTCTTGGGGGAGGGGAAAATTGCTTGGTTTTTGTTTGCTTGTTTTTTCATAAAATAGGCAAATTATTACTATGCTAGTGAATGTGTTTATAGTTGTCATTTGAGGAATATTGTAGTTTGGTAAAATGTTTCCTGGTTTTTGCCATCTTATTTAAATCTTGATTATTTGATTTTTGTATAGATTCACACACATCTGTGGCTAGCAGAATGTATCTTTTTTATGGCTTCCCTACTTTTCAGTTTATTTTTTTAATGTATCTATTGAGAATACATGGATAGTAGTTTATATTTCACAAGTAGTTTAATTCTGGTTAGGTAAATATACAAATGCTTGAGGTAGTTTAGTATTCCAGAAAGGGTGCTAATGTGGCTATTGCCTCGAGGAGTACCTTGTGCTCTCTGGACACATGATAAATATTATCTGATGAACACCTATAATACTCAAATAATGGAACTAAACAAAAAAGGGGATACAGATGAATGTCCATTTTGTATCTGTGTATTCAAAGTGGTTAGGAAAGATATGTAGTTACATTCTCTTAATGAATAGAGGGATTTGTTCTAATGGTGTTTGTAAATAGGATATCATATCCGCATCTTGTACAGCAATTAACCACTAGGAAGAATGTATGCAATGTGCTAATTATTAAAACTGTCATACTGATTTGGTTTGAAACTGTCTCATTGCTATTTGTTTCTCAATAAAATTATGGAAAAAGAAAAAAAGAGGGCAAATGAGATGGCTTAATCTCCTCTCGGACTAATGTGAATCTTGATAGGAAATTTCTGAGTAGGTTCATAATGTGCATGGCAGAAGTAAGCTTTCTAGTGGCTTAGAAAGTTTCATCAGCTCTGGAACTTTATCCTTCACCTTAGTTTTGGAAGTAAACTCTATTACTTTTAGTTTTCATTTGTAATGAACATAATAAATACTAGTAGGTTGAAATAAGGTTTTATAGATCTTGCTCTTATTATTCATGTTGAAAATTGTCCCTGGGTAATGTGTAGACTACTGTAAGGTCATGAGTTAGCTGGTAGAGCAATCAGATTAACAAATATATATTGGTAGCTGAATTTAGCAAAGAAATAGAAAAATCATGATTATACCTATATTTTCACAGGAAGAAATGTAACTAGAGTATGTACCTACTGAAGTAGTAATGGCCTTCAAAGAGCATTTTTAAAAAGGAACAAAATAAGTATGAATTAAATCAGTATAACCTATAAAGCAGTAGTTGGTTGTGAATTATAGTGGCACCAGCTAGCCCCTCTATGATTTAAAGGTCTGGGCATGGTGGCACATGCCTCTAATCCCAGCACTTGGGAGGCTGAGGCATGAGGATTGTTTCAAGTTCGAGACCAGCCTGCGCCACACAGTGAGCTCAAGGTCAGCCTGAACTGCATAGCTAGACCTTGTCTCAAAAAGACAAAAAAAA